ATTTTTTTACTAATTGAAATTATTTTCGGGCCTATGGCTTGAACCTCACATATATTGTACATAGAAGTGTATATAACATAATCTGTATATACAAATATACTTTATACATATTAGAGAATTTTTTTTTTTTTCAAAAAACGTATTTTCCAAAAATTTTATTTTTGTCAACTCTCCACTTATTTAAATATTATTTACATTGTACAATAATTTGTGTTTAGAAAAATTTTTTATTTGTCAATATTTTGCCTTTAGACGTATTTTGTATTGTATTTATCAATATTTTATGTTTGGTGAAATTTTATGTTCAGCCAGATTTTATGTTCAACCATATTACATACAATGGAAACATCTCATAAGTGGGCACCAACGGGATTAGATTTTTTGTCCAGTCAATAGAGGTGCGCGTGCATCAGAGGTGAATATGTAAGGGAGGAAGTTGAAGGGACTTGTAAAAGTGCTTGCTTATTGGAGGTGCCCATTAAGGGAAATTTCATTGTATTTATTAATATTTTATGTTCTTCAATATTTTATTTTAAGCAAAATTTTTCATATATTTCTTTATTTTCGGAATCATTTTATGTGTATCCATTTTTTATGTTCAGCCAGATTTTATGTTTAACCATATCTTGTATTTATTAATATTTTATGTTTCGCAAAACTTTATATATATTTATAAATATATTTCTGTTTACCAGTTATGAATGTTAAGCAAAATTTTATATTCATCAATAATTTATTTTTATCAAAAAGTTATAGCATGAAATTTTTTTTTTTTTTTTTTTTTGAAAAATTCTATATTCAGAAAAAAATATGTTTTTATTATTTATTTTGAATTAACAATTTTTTATATTTCTTTATATTAACATTTTTTGCTGGGCATTAACTTATGTAAAGCAGTATTTTGTGTATAGAAATTTATGTTTATCAGTATTTTATTGTTTGGCAAAATTTTCGTGTTCATCTATATTTTATGTATAGCCAATTATCTTTTTTTTCTATTTTTCAATATTTATATTTTATGTTAGTTAATATTTATGTTCAACCATATTTTATGTTTAGCCAGATTTTATGTTTAACCATATCTTGTATTTATTAATATTTTATGTTTGGCAAAACTTTATATATATTTTTAATATATTTCTGTTTACCAGTTATGAATGTTAAGCAAAATTTGATATTCATCAATAATTTATTTTTATCAAAATGTTATAGCATGAACATGAATATGTTTTTATATTTTATTTTGAATTAACAATTTTTTATATTTCTTTATATTAATATTTTTTGCTGGGCAATAACTTATGTAAAGCAGTATTTTGTGTATAGAAAATTTTTATGTTTATCAGTATTTTATTGTTTGGCAAAATTTTCGTGTTCATCTATATTTTATGTATAGCCAATTATCTTTTTTTCTATTTTTCAATATTTATATTTTATGCTTAGTTAATATTTACGTTCAACTATATTTTATGTTTAGCCAGATTTTATGTTTACCAAAATTTTACGTTCATCAATATTAGCAAATCTTTTTGTTGATCCATGTGCTGTGTTTGGCAAAATTTTATGTTCAACCATATTTTATGTTTAGCGAGATTCTATATTTATTTATTATTATTTTATGTTTCTTTAAATTTATAGTTTATGTTCATACATATTTTACGCTTAGCAAAATTTTATGCTCATCCATATTTTATGTTTATCAAGATTTTATATTTATTTACTATTATTTTATGTTTCTTTAAATTTATAGTTTATGTTTAGCAGTAGTTTATGTTCATCCATATTTTAGGTTACGCGAAATTTTATGTTCATCCATATTTTATGTTCTAAAAAAATTTATGTTTATATTTGCGTTCAACCTTATTTTACGTTTAACAAAAGTTAATGTCCATCCATATTTTACGTTTAGCACAAGTTTATGTTCATCCATAATTAATGTTTTAAAAAAATTTATATTTTTTTATATTTATATTTTTATTTTTCGTTCATCCATATTTTCCATTTACCAAATTTTTTCTCCATCTTTACTTTAAGTTGCTCGAAATTTTATAGTCTTAGTCTATTCAGTTTTTCATAAACCTCACAGCACGTGAAATTTCGTATTCGTATTCTTGTAAAGTTTTTCTTAGCTGAGTTGCTTCAAGCTAAACCTGCAATTTTTTCATTCGTAGTTTGCAGACACCCGGTCTTAGTGTCTTAGAAGTAAACAAACTACTTTCCTGTAAAATTGTTTCACTCCACAAAAGGAACCACATCTGGCCTGGGCAACGTTGACATTCTCAAATTTTTTATATGTCAGTCTGTCGAGCACCTAAACACACCAGTCAACCAACGCACCAAGCAGCGCTGCAGCCAAAGACAACCAGCACAACAGCTACCCTATTGTAAAGTGCTTAAAGTCTGCGGATAAAATAATATAAAATAAATGCTTGGAGGTCGGGTAAAGTATGATTTACTTTAAGTGATACCAATTTGCATATTAAAGTCGCGTCGAAGCGAACGAATATAAATAAAAACAGTGCAAAGCAAAGAGAGTGACAGCAAAAGAAAACGAAACAGCAACAGCAACTGCAAGTAGAGAATGAAATGGCTAAAAAGTATAGAAACAGAAGGTGCTTACATTGCTTGGTTGTTGTATTGAGCAGCGTAAAGAGCGAACGGATGGGCGAACAACGCAAAGAGTGTAGAAGATGTGGAAAAAGCAGAGAAGTAAGGAAAAAAACCATTGAAGTCAACCATGCAGAGAAGGAACAACTCAGGCACATGCCACATGCCACATGCCACTTGCAGCTTGCTTTCATACGTAATAGAACAAGCAAAGTTACTACATATCATAATTACATATGCACATACATACATACGCATATGTATGTAAGTGGTTAAGAAACATTGACATGCCTGAGCCGTTGCTGGCTTATCGTTGGCATTTTTGTGCTGATTGACCTTAACCAGTGAGTGCGTTTGCAGAAATTAACGTTATGTTTATGAGAGAGAGAGAGAGAGGAAAACTTCCGGAAAAAGTCGCCCAACCACTTACGCTCTATTTTTAAAAGAAAACTGGTTTTGGAGGTTTACTCATCTCCAGACCAGCGACGAGCTACATGTTGAACTCTTCTCAGAATCACGCTTTCATAATCAGGCACAATTGTTGTTGTTATTGTTGTAGCTGTTCTCCAACCCCGCTTAAATGCTAACAAGACTAGTCTAAGCCATCGACGACCATCTAACTGCAGGACCAAAAAACAGATAGTGGACAAATAGGTGGTTAGTGTGTTGCGGGTATGGCCCATTTGAAGCCTCTTGGTACGCCGTACTTTCTAGCGGTTCTTATCTTAGGGATGGATGGAGTCTAATGGGCTTTGATGGAGATTCAGCCACAGGTTGTTGGCGCGCTCCTGACAGTTCTGATCGCTGGAGATAGTTCTTGCACAGCATAATATTGAGTTCTTCAATTCGCAGCATAGATGTTTCACTGCATCATTTGCGCTCTGGGGACGTTAGGAGGTTTTCTGCAAGAACGCTTGTAGCTTCTTCATATTCGTCTCACTATTTCACGGCGCCCAAATCGGAGCAACATAATTTCCCAAGGTGCTTCTGGCTAACGATTTGAAGATTTTGTTATCACTCTATATTTTTATGGCAATTCTAGAAGATAATCAGCTACTCGGCCTATATTTGTATCAATTCATCGTTGGGGATTTCTAAGCAAGCCTTAAGCTTTAGAGCTTTGAATATACAAAAATATTTATATCTTTCGGAGACTGGAAATCAATGAATGAAGAGAGGTACAAAAAGAAAGAAAAAATCTATCCAATAAAACAATAAAATAACTCTTCGGTTGAGGCGACACATCGCGGACAGCTTCCAATATTGGGTCGACATAAATGTCTAGCAGAGTCGGTGTTTCGAGCAACCATGTATCGGTTTCAGACCACGCTTACTCTAGTGACTAATACGCATACTCAGAGAAATTCTACAGAGAGCACCGCGGACGCTATTGATGCTTTGCAGCAAAATAACGAAGATAGGTTTTAAGGTTTTTATTGAATATTTTACTGGGGAGCGATCTTGCTTCGCGGGCTTAAAAAATCCAACTCGTACAAGAGTTGAAGCCTACCGACCATCAAGCGCGTCGCACTTTCGATGAATGGGCTCAAAACGAAAGGGACACCGATCTCGATTTTCACCAGAAACTTTTTCAGCGATGATACACACTTTTGATACAATATGCACTTGGCTGTTGAACCGCCGTTGCAACCGCAAAAATTCATTATGGACAGAGGGTATCATTATAGAAACATTATAGGGCCATAATTCAAGACTATTTTGTGTCAGAATTGAAGCATGTTAATGTAGACAACATTTGGCTCCAACAATAAGGCTACGGGTAGATCGCGTGGCTTTCTAGATAGCGCGATTCAAACCGCTGGACTAATTTTTGTGGTGTAAGCCTAACACGATTGACGCCTTGGACGTTGCTGCGAAAAATGTTCAAAAATTTAGCCTCTCAGCTAGAACTTATTTACGCCAGTCCTTGCGGTCACTTGCCCGAAATCATTTTTCGAAACATAATATCAAACGCTTAACTTTATAATAAAGCTAAACTCTTGGCCATAATATTAAATTTTATGCATTATATTTCTTTTGAAAAATAAAACATGTCTTAAAAAAGCACCCTTTATGTGTACATACCTAAGGTCGACTGAAGAAGCTGTCACTCATTTGACACACTTGCTACCTAGTGGGTTTGTAGTACAAACACAACAAAACTTTGTGATGATGATGAAGTGCAAAAAAGGTGTAAAAGGGAAAATTTAAGCTAAAATTTGAAAGCAGCGAATTTATTATGCTTAAACCTTAAATATTATTCATAATTCACCGAGTTGTCGAAAGAACAAAAAAAAATGTATTTTCAACAGGCATATACATAAGTATGGAGATGCGTGAATATCCCCCTTATGTGATATGTATGCATGTTTGCCGCCTTTGTGTTAACTTACCTTAAATTTGGAACGGCTGCTGCTGCGGCTGCCGCCTGTAATGGTGGTGGCACATTATATGGGAATGGTAATTTGGCGGCTAATGCGGGATTCTCGAAAAGCATCTTGACTGTATACACTTTTAATTACGACTGTTACGAAGCTTAATATTATTATATTTTACAAAATACGCGACTTTGATGCGTATTTGTTTTTTTTTGTTTTTGTTTTAAAAATACTATATTGGTTTCTTTAAAAAAATAAAATAAAATATATAAGCGTATATATATATTTTTTTTAAATGTATTAAGTAATTTTTTTTTTTAATTTTAAAAAGCCAACTTGTGTGATAAAAAAATGTGTTCCACTTGTTTCTCACTTAAATGCTTGTAGCTTTTATATGTATGCTTCGTAAATTTTCCAGCACTTTTGCTTTTACTACTTCGAAAAGAAAATACAATTTTTATTGTATTTCTATTTATTTTTAAATGGTATGTAAATGTCTTTTCTGAGCTTATTATTCATATTTTAGAATATTAGATTAATTTTTTTTTTCTTTCTATGAATGGCTGATTTTAAAATGTATTTTTCAATTATATGTATATTCAGCTCGTTTAAAGTGAATTTTGTTCTAAGCTTAACTTTTTAGCTTTTAAATACATATATTTTACAAATTTTTTTCTATATTATTTTTTACTTTATTTTTTTTATTGTTGAAGTTTTTGTTTTATTATGCACACTTTTTTCGCTTTTGGATAGAATCTTTTGTTTTACTCACTGCTATATTATTTGTGTTATATTTACTGTATCCTTCTTTTAGATTTTTTTTTTGCTTTTTTAATTAAAATTTTATATTTATTTTTTACAACATAGAAAATATTATTATTTCTTGGTTGAATTTCGTTTAATTTAGTTTTCTCCTTTGCTTTTAATTATTTTTAACCCTATGCTTTTTATTGAATAGTAAATAATTGAAATTCCAAAATTTGTAATAATTAGTTTTTGTTTTAGTACAATTTTTTTTCAACTCCAACTTAATTATTTTTGAAATCTATTTTATTATCTATTTCTGAATTCAGTGCAATTTTTTAATGTAAAGAATTCTCCTTTATTTTCCTTCTCTTTGATTCACTTGAAAATTTTCTTTAAATCGTAATTTTTTCTTGTACATTTATTTTAATACTGTATTTTACTTGCAGCTTTTAATAATTAATATTATTATTTTTTTTATTTGTATTTTTTTTCACTTTTGTAACATTCAAATATTTATTTGTGTTTTATGCACTCTTCACAATTTTTTACATCAACTTTAACACTATGTAATTTTTTTACAAAATTTTTAATATTTTTAAAAAACTTTTTTATTGTAATACATAAATTTTCTCAAACCGTCTGATGTGAAAGATTTTTTTCTTTTGTTCAATGCTTAGTGGGATGCGCTGTAAAGAAAGAAAATAAAAAAAATTTTTGAGTGAGTTTTATGTTTTATTAAAATAAAACTTTGTGTTAATGTAAGCTATTTAAATAATCGATAATAAATATATTTTAATAAATATATAATATTAGAGAACTGATTTTTGAAAATGTAAGCCAGGCTTTAAATTTCGCAGATGGATTTTCAAATGTTCAAAAATATAATTCCACACAAATTAAGTGAGGTTAGTTAGATGTGGCTGATTCCAAGTTTATCTCACATAAACCCATAAGACTACTCTTCATTAGTTAATAGCTAAATACCTATCACAAGCCTGAGAATGTATACAAAGTACGAGAATTTTGTTCTTGAAATGGCATAGAGCTTCCCTGACCATTCACCGTCCGCCCATCTCATTCCTAAAGAAACTCGAAACCACGCATCGCAAGGTGCTAGCTCAGCACCCACCTGTCTACAAGCAGATCGCATGTTGATAGAGCAGCGCTTATTTGTACTTTGTCAGCTTTTAACGAATCACAATTTTGGAGCTCAACAAGACTGCCGTTTGGTCGACAGGCTTTTGTTGAATGTCGATTTCTCTCTCACGGAAACTGTTCTCAAATTTCAACATTCAATGTTCAGCAACATTCGCCAAAAAAACAATGCAGTGGGCTAGAAGCTTGAACCAACGCCGAACTCTCGATGAAATTTTTACCCAGTCATAAGGAAGTTAAGTGTTCTTGAAATTTAATACAGAATCGAGATCTAAAATTTTTTCTCATTGAGCAAGGCCTAAACTCAATTCTGGTTTCCTGGTCGAGTTAACGAGAAAAAACTTCTTGGACCGAGTTTCCATCAACGTATCGCTGCTGAACGTTATAAAATCAACCCATTTGTGAAGCGAATGGTGATTGGTGATGAAAAGTGGATCACCTACAGCAACTTCAACTGGAAACAATCATGAGTGAAGAACATTAAGACGATACAAATGCTCTCCAAAAGCCAGGATGAACGGCCAGAAGGTTTTTCTTTTGTGTGTTTGACGGCTTCTTACGGCCAAACGGACTTCTACTGTCAGCGATTGAACCAGCTGAAAGAAGTAATGGCCCAAAATCGCCCAGCTTTGGCTAACAGGAGGGAAATTTTGTTTCATCAGGACATCGCCAGACCACACACATCGACAGTGATTCACCAGGAGCTCCGGGAGCTAGGTTGGGAGGTTCTTATGCAACCACATTATAATCCGGAACTAGCACCAAGTGATTAACATCTGCTCCTGTCAATGGCGAATGATTAGTAAAGAATTGGCCTCAAAAGAAGCCTTTGTAAATCAATGGTGCCAAATTTTTACCCATAGCGACCAGGGTTTCAAAAGAGAGGCATAGTGACATTACCTTCATATTGGACATAAATCGGATAATTTTAAATATGGGAAATCGGACCTTAATTACAATGCAAATATAGTTGATTACTTTTTACTTGAGTGAACAATTAATGTTATTAGTTTTATTAACCAATGCTTGGCACACTCTGCCGACGGAAGTATGGGGAACTCATGTAGAAAGGATAAGAACAAAATTTTAAATTAAAAGCAAGTCTCATATATGCATCTTCCTGGCCATACGAGTACCCCAAGTGCAAGGAAAGAGAACTAAATTTTTACAAATTTTTCTACGGCCTAAACGCTTCAAAGTGTTTATTATGAACCAAGTAATTTGAGGTAATTTTATTTGGAAGGCCAAAAATGGAGGCTGACATTGCCAGATTTTTTAATCCTCCCAAAGGCGTTTGCAAGCAAATAAAACATTTCCGAACACGCCTCTTATAATTTATTTTATCAATTTTTCAATCTGTGGCTAATAATTTATAACCGTTTTTTTCCCCCAGCAGCGCTACTCAGTTGCTCGTCTCCAACAAAACATTAACTAATTTACTTTAATGCAGTCACCGTTAGTTCAAAAGCTGGTCTGAGGGGCGAGCGCACACTTGTGAGCGGTATGTCGCCACTTGACTTGTTTACTGATTACGTTTTAATTAAAAATCTTTGCTTGGCACTTAACACAAGTACAATAACAGCAACAACAACAACAAGAAGAACAACTAAAGTGATAAAATAAAAGTGTAACAGAAACAAAAATTACTAGAAATTTCAAACTAATCAACCAAAACATTTGCGTCTAAGATAAAAACAAAGCGAAAAAAAAAATAGAAAAATATAAAAGAAAAACAAGAAAGCAATGAAACTCAAATACTTGCCAACAGCAGCATGAAATGTAAACTTCCTGGCACATTTTTTTTTCTTTTTTTTTTTTGAACTTTATAAAGTAGGCTGTGGCGCGAGTGTTGGGTGTGAAGACGTGCAGGTGAAGTTGGCTTTTGAATTTATTAATTTTCTGCCTTTGCCAAAGTGTTAAAGTCCGTTTTGTTTCAACCCTTTTTCAGTTTTACTGTTATTAGGCTTTCAAGGTTTCAAGAGTAGATTGTTTCATATATTTCAAATTTTCTACACACCTTTCAGTGCACAGCTGAGTGTTTATGTGAACCTTTTTTTATGCGCATAAATTGTAAGCTCTAATTTTTCATTTATAATTCTTGGTTTTGAGATTTTTCTTTTGACTTTCTGTTGTGGAAATTTAAAAAGAGAAAATCTAGTTGAAAACAGTATAAGTTTAAGCTTTCGTATATCGAGTTGCGAGTATTGGCTTTCTGAAATATTTGCCAAAAAAAATTTGAATATTTTTGAGCATGACGAACTTCATCTGGCCTTTGTAAAGAATGCTTTTTTACGCATCTACAATAGTTTTCGAGAAGACATAAAATGCTTAAAATGAATATCTTTCAATCGACCACTTTTTTCTGCAACAACGCGCCGAAGGGGCGTCGAACGTCTCGGGCTTATCGGCGTAGACGCCTTCACATAACCTCAAATAATATATATAATTTGTTTTGCGGCCAATAATAATATAGTTCAACGCTGCCTCGTGGCCTCCAATGTCACAAGCTCCAGACGTGAGTAGAAATAAAAAAAAAATGCGAACCCAGCTTAAAATCTTAAGTTTGCCAAAAAAAAATGTTTACATGGTTAAGGGGTTAGAAAAAGGGAGAGGAGAAAGGAGTCTATATTTGAGAGCATGTTGAAACAATTTTACGCTTGCAGTCAATTCCTATCGCTGGCTAGGTCATGTCGTCCGAATGGATAAAAGCACTCCAGCTATGAAAGTATTCGATGCAGTACCTGATGGTGGAAACAGAGGAAGAGTAAAGTCTTCACTCCGTTGGAAGAATCACTTGGTATTTCCCATTGACGCCAGGCAGCGAAAAGAGAGAAGAAAGGAATGGCGCGCTAAGTTTGATTCGGCTCTAATCGCGTAAGCGGTGCCAACGCCAAAAAAGAAGAAGAAGAAGTCAACTTCTTTTCCATTAAAAAGTTTGAGCTTTGCCTTTTCCATGTGAACCACTACATCAATCAAATGATAGCCTCGCGAATTTTTGCAAACTTCGACGTGTTTGAAGTAATTTTTGACTACTTTTTTACGCATATCTCGCCATTTAATCACAATCTTTTGCGTAGTCCTACAAAAGGTTCCAATGGTGTCAAATCGCACGATCTCGGTGGCCAATTGACATCGCCAAGGCGAGAGATGACGCGGCTGGTATATTTTATACACAGTTATGGAAAATTAATTTAAATGTAAAATTAAATTAAATTTTCTTATTGCGGTCGCCCATTGCCAAGAAACATCATCCCCTGCGAGTGTAATTCTGACAGGAAATTACGGCTCCTCATAAACCAACCAACGGAGTCGGCTTAGTATAAACTGTAGGTCCCTCCAATCGTTGGTAAAACATCAAGACACAAAAACCACAAATTGGAGGAGGAGCACGGCTGAAAATCGCTTCAGCGGTTACAAAGTGCCAATTATAAGGATCAAGTACACAACCGGGCCAAAGAGCGCACCAGACAAAGGTTTTTTCGGGTTCAAAGGCTTCTCTTCAATTTTTTCATGATTCTCAAAGCCCCAAATGCGACAATTGTTCATATTTACATATCTCCGATTGAGAAATGTGTCGCGTCGAAGAAAAAGAAAATTATTTTCGAAAAATCGCCGTACACTTCCAAGCACCCAATCGACGTAGTTATGGTATTGTTGTGTGAGCTCGACTTTATATGGATGTAGATATAAGTCCAAGTGCAAAAATACGCCATAATAAAATGTACGTCTTGAGCACGTCGAGTTATAGACCATTCGACTACACTTTCACTTACAGTAGTAATATTTGAGGTGACACACAAAGGGATATAAGAATATGATAGACGACAGGCCTTACAATATCTATAGTCGATCCAATCACTCAAAATGTTTTTAAATTTTTTTCCAATTGCCGGAGAGTTGGGCAGATTGTGTGCATCATAATCTCCTCTGGAATCACAATTTATGTTGTAGG